ATTAATTCAAAAATATTGACTGATGCCATGCATAAACAAATATAATTTTTCAGCATTAGGATCCAGGCATAAAATAGGAATAAGTGAGCTCCTAATGATAATCATATATTGGGAAACCAGGAGGACTTAAAAACCTAATGAAATTAAAGAGGATATTTGATAGAGGGAGGGGAAGGGAAATTTAGAAAAAAAACTGAGCTGAAGAAGAGAGTTCAAAAGTTCCAGATTTGAGATGAAGGTATTTTATGGGATGTCTATATCTAAGGGAATGCTCTTCGGGTGACTGGCTTAACTGATGTTAGTGGGCCATGCAGAGTGACAACTATAAAAGCAGGAATCAACTAGCCCCCTATAAAACAAGGGGGCTAATGTGGTACAGGGTGGAGCAGGGAGGAAGAATATAGAGCAGGGTCTAAAACTTGCTGAGGAAGCTGGAAGCATGTCCTAGAGGTTGGTGTCTGCCTTAGGTGAGAAAATGAAGGTGATATATGACTATTAATAGGGGAAATACTTAAAGACAGTAGCAGAAGGATCTGGATGTGGCTGAGGGGAGCAGGCAAAATTTACTGGAGATATGCAGCTTATAGTGAGTGAGATAAAGAGTAGCTTTTATAGGAAAGGTTTTGTGTGCTGTTGTGAAGAACTTACATATAAGTTATCGGGAATTAAAGACATGGTAAGAAAGCATATTAAATATATTCTTTATATCTTTGTCTTTCTTTGTGTATTGCCATCCAGCTGAGATTATATACTCTACTTCTATAATGTTTTTCTTGCATGTTCTCATAGACAATGTCCATGCTTAGTGCTTGGAAACCTTGTGTAAACTTGATGCCACTCTATGGAAAATAGGCCAAATAATTGGCTCAGCACGGAATTTCTTAAAAGACGATACAGGGGAACTTTCTGTGCTAGCGCACCTTTCCCCCCATGCCAAAAACAGTTTAAAGGTCAGCTCTGGGTTCTGTTATCTGGTTGACTCTTTAGTCTAGTTTGGCTGTCGAGACCTTCAAAATCTGGGTGCCTACATGAGAAAGAGAGCAAGTACCAGAAGCCACACCATTCACTCACCCCACATTTTCTTGATGTCTGCGTACTGTTTTCCCTGCTTGTTCACATGTTTGATAATACTCCAAAGTCAAAGTATACTCAGCCAGGTCTGAGTTGTCATTAGAAACAATTCATACTCATCCTGGAAGCAGCCTGAGGTGAGCTCTGAAAATGGTCCGCTATTCACTTGACCCAGAAAACTCCATAAGATCATGCAAATCAAGAGGTTTTCATCTTTGTGTTCACTTTAGGAATACCTGTGAAACTTCCCAGGCCATCAGGGTATGCAAATCCAACATGCCTCCAAGTATCTGAAGGATGTCACATTGCAGAAGCAATGTGTGCCATTCTGTCATTACAACGATGCAGTTGGTAGGTGCGCCCAGGCCAAACAGTGGGGCCGGACACAGGGCTGGTGGCCCAAAAAGAGTGTTGGCGTTTTGCTGCACATGCTTAAAAATGCAGAAAGTAATGCAGAACTTAAGGCTTTACATGTAGATTCTCTTTTCATTAAGCACATCCGGGTGAACAAATCTAAAATGCAGCGCAGAATTTATAAAGCTAATGGGCAGATGAACCCGTACATGAGCTCTCCCTGACACATTTGAGATGGTCCTAGTGAAAAAGATCAGATCGTTCCTAAAGCAGAAGAGGAGGCTACACAGAAGAAAAATATATCCCAGAAGAAACTGAAGAAACAAAAACTTATGGCCCTGGAGTAAATTCAGCATAAAATAAGGGCTAATAAAAATAAAATAAGCCCTGGCTGGTTTGGCTCAGTGGTTGGAGTGTCGGTCTGTGGTCCCGAGAGACCCGGGTTTGGTTCCCGCTAAGGGCATGTACCTCGGTTGCAGTTTGTCCCCGGCCCTGGTTGGGTCGTGCGGGTGGCAGCCACTCGATGTGTCCCTTTCACGTCGATGTTTCTCTCTCTCTCTCTCTATCTCTCTCCTCCTCCTCCTCCTCCTCCTCCTCCTCCTCTCTCTCCCTCCCACTCTATCTGAACAAAAAAATGGAAAAATGTCCTCAGGTAAGGATAAAAACAAATAATAAAATAAAATAAGAAAAAAGAAACAATTTGTAAATGGCTTAGCTCACATACAATCACAATTTCTAGAATGGTTTCTCTTTCCCATCTGTTTTCTGTTATTCTTTCCTGGCAAAATTGGGACCCTGGTTAAACTCAGTCCTTTCATTCTGCTCTTGCATGTATACTGCCTGCTCAGTACCTCTACTTAAAAGTGGTGTCTCTTTGGCAGAATTTCTAAGCATGTGCCCCTCAAGAATTCCATCCCATGGTTACCTCTTCAAACATTAATCTAGTTATTTCTGCAAAGGGACTTCCCAGATGTTATTAAATATAGATAATTAAGCAGAAAGATTATCCTGGATTATTTTGGTAGGTTTAATCTTACCACCTGAACTCTTAAAAGAAGGTAAACATCTCTGCCCGGAGTCAGAGAAATGTGACAGAAGAAGAGATAGGCAGAAGAGGTGTGTAGGAGAAATGAATGAACCTTAAATTTTTCTCCCGTAGAGCCTCCATAAAAGAATGTATTCCTGCCAATACCTTGATTTTCAGCCTTGTGAGACTAAGCAGAGGAAATAGCTGAACCATACTAGTTCTGTGAACTTCTGACCCATAGAACTGTGAGATAATGCATTTGTGTTAAGATGCTAAATTTCTGGTAATATATCATGGCAGTAATAAAAAATAATACTGAAGTTAAATAGAGATCTCAAACTTAACATATCCAATGCAGAATTTAGGATATTTCAAATCCGCACACACTGAATCTTCTCTGGTCTTTCCTCTTTCACTAAATGACACCACTATTCACACAGTTGTTTGGGCTCCAGATAGAATTATTCCCAAATGATTTCTTTTCCTTTAAAACCCAGACCTGACATTTCATCAAATACTTTTGAATATGTTTTCCCTGTTTCTATATCTGACCACTTCTCCCCTTCTCCACTGATCTCGCCCAGTCTCTCTCACAACGATTCTTGAAATAGCCTCTAGTCTTGTTCTCCTAACAGTGTGGTACTATTCATAGATCAGTCAGAGAGATGAAGTTTTGAAATGTTAATCTCTACTTAAAGCTCCAGTGACCTCTCATACATTTAGAATAAAATTCAAATCCTAGGTCTTTGATGTTGTGGTCTCTCTCTGCCTTCTTGACATCTCCTCTCACCCTCCTCCTTTCTCGCGAAGAGGAAGCCACATTTACATTCTTTTGGTTCTCCTGCATACTACATTTTTTGCTGGTTCAGACCTTTACATGTTTGAACCTTTCTGCCTTGAATACTTTTTTGTTGTTGTTAATCCTCACCTGAGGATATTTTTTTCCATTGATTTTTAGATTGGAAGAGAGGGAGGGAGAGAGAGAAACATCGATAGGAGAGAGACACATTGATTGGCTGCCTCCCTCACAACCCTGACTGGGGATGGGGATTGAGCCTGCAACCCAGGTATGTGCCATTGACTAGGTATCAAACCTGCAACCCTTCGGTCTGCAGGCCGACACGGTAACCGCTGAGCCAAACCAGACAGGACTGCCTTCAGTGCTCTTTCTCTAGATCTTTTAATACTTTACTTCTTAACAGTCTTCAAGTATTTGCTTAAGTATCACTTCATCAGAGGTTGTCCTGATTATCATCTTGAAACAGCCAATCGCCACCACTTTGTGTCTCCTCATCCATTCTTATTTTTTAAAGCACTCTCACTTATGTGTCTACTTTTTTTTTGACACACTAGAATGTAAGCTCAATGAAGGTAGTGACTTTCACTGCCTTCTTAATTGCTGATTGCTCAACTACTAGAAGAGTTCCTGCCTCCTGGTAGATTCTCAACAAATATCTGTGATATTAAAGATAACATCAAGCACATATAAACAATTTAGACTTACTTGAGGAGGTCTTTGAAAAGTTTGATTCACATGTGTTTTGTGACAATGTGGGTAGTTAAGTGTCCTGCAAGAAAAATGTGGTGCTGTACTTCAAGAGTCTATAGTGCATGAAAAATAGTGCTCTCATGATATAATGAGGCCATTTCTGAAATAGTCACAATACTTAAAAAAAATTTTTTTCTTTATTGATTTTAGAGAGAAAGGAAGGGAGAAAGAGAGAAAATAGAAACATCGATGAAAGAGAACATCAATTGGCCGCCTCCTGCATGCCCCCACTGGGGATTTGGCCCACAACCTGGGCATGTGCCCTGACCAGGAATCGAACTGGTGACCTTTTGGTGCATGGGTCGATGCTCAACCACTGAGACACACCAGGCTTTTAATCAATACCAGTCACAATACTTTTGACTAAAATGTTAACTAATGGAAACTTGGAAATTACAGCCATCAGTCTCTTATTTTTGATGTCTGAAGCCATTATCTATTTCTTCCTTAGCTTGGAAAATGATTTTTCATATCAAATTCTAAGATTTGTGCTTCATATCTCATTTAGATATTTAGATTGGCTAGAAGGGCATTTCTGCTCTGGAATTAAACAGAGTATATGAAAGCCAATTTATAAGTAATGATTAGGCAATCCTCAGGAATTTTTCAAGAAACATGCTGTGGGGAAAGCTTAATTTTATTACTTATTAACATGTTATTTCATGTTTTGTAATTGTATGAGGGGTTGTGGTACTCAAGAGGGCATCCTGGTGCCTGCTCTTCTAGCTTCGTCACCCTAGAAGTTCAGATCATCTCACTGTATTTTCCCTCATTACATCTTTGACCTCATGGTACAAGGCCAGGCTTCGGGCAGCATTAATCTTCATTTGGGTGGCACACCTGGGGACAAACCGGCGGCTCTCATGACAACACTGGAGATTTCATGTTATATTTATTGCTCAACTCTTTATTTTTACTTTGTTTGCTTAATGTTTGTGTGGGTTGTTTCAGTTTCTTTCTAAGATTATTTCTCCCCACAGCTCAGAGCTATGGGAAATCTTATCCAAAAATGGAAACAACTTTATCGAAAAGTCCCTTGGTGGTAGAAGCATCATGTGCATCTTGGGTAGTAGAAGCAGTAGTTGTAGGGCTGGTGGGGTTTGTTTTGGTGGTGGTGGGAGTTTCTGTGGTTGTAGTAGCTTGTGTTTGGGGTGCAGGGGTGAAGGAGGAAGGGTGCGTTGGAGGGTATCCAGGATAGAATATAGGTTCAGGTATATCTGATCTTGGTTGATATGGTGGATATGGATAATAAGGATCATAAGGGGGAGGAGGTGGAGGGCCAAAAGGAGGAGGAGGGGGTGGAATTCTCCCTGGGCCATTAGGAGGAGGAGGAGGAGGAGGAGGGGGTGGAAATCTCCCTGGGCCATAAGGGGGAGGGGGAGGGGGAGGGGGTGGAAATCTCCCTGGGCCATAAGGGGGAGGAGGAGGAGGTGGTGGAACATATCTTGGGTCAAAAGGTAAAGGTTGTGGAGGAAAAGGAGGTGGGTATGGTCTTCTGGGGCCTCTTTGACTCTCACCAGGCTGTGGGAAAAAGAAATAAACAATTTAAAATTAAATATTTCAGTGTCAAGCATACAAAGTTATACTCTTCTGTGGCAGGCAGAGTTCCGAGATGGCTACCAAGATTCCTGTTTCCTGCTGGAACATGCTGGCCTGACCTTATCCAGTGAGCCTTTTAAAATAGGTTCTACAGGTCAGAGACAGAAGTCAGAGAGATTTGAAGTTACAGCAACTGCTCTTCTCTTGGCTTTGGAGCAAAGAGCCATGTTTTGGAGAGGACCACATGGAAGTAAATGGTAGATGGGCAGGAGGAGCTGGGAATGTCACCTGGCTACGAGCCACAAGAAAGTAAAGACCTCAGCCCCCAAAGCAAGGGACCCAATTCTGCCAACAATCATGCAATCCTGGAAGAGGATCCTGGGTTCCAGAAAGGAACACAGTCCTGGCAACACTTTTTCAGCCTTGTCTGACCCTGAGCAAAGAATCCAACCAAGCCAAGGCCAGAATGCTAACCAAAGAATCTGTGAGATAATAAACGGATTTTAAAGCTACTAATTTGTAGAAACGTGTGCAGCAAGAGGAAACTATTGTATGCATTTAAGTCACACAGTCTGAAAGTCTGTATCAGAGCAGAGGAAGAGTTTCTCTTTTGCCCACTGAATGCCTACACTCTCAATAAAAGCTGAGATAGTATTAAATAGAAAAAAAAAAGAAAAAAAGACTGTAGGTAAAATTACTTTGCTTATAGTACAGCCTGTCGCTGGAATCAATTTCAAATGGGGAAAATGTCTCTTATATCTCATTTAAGAGTTCAGGATTGTTTCAGATTTTGAAAACTAATAAATTGTCAAGCATATCATTGAGCACCTCCTTTGTGCAGTATGCTGAAGTGGGAGCTATGGAGGTACAAACATGCCCCTCGAGAGTCTACAGGGCAAGTAGCTACAATACTAGAAGGTACAAAAACGGCCCAATAAGAGGCAGAATGATAATTTTTGGAGTTTCTTGCCTCAACTATTTAGAGATTGTGTGACTGTGAAATCCTTTTTGAGAGTCTCTCTTACCTCACCTGGAAAACGATGATCATAAAAGTACTCACATCTGAGGGTCATTGTCAGATTTTTTGTGAAACATTATTAGTAAATGCTTAGGGTAGTGCTTGGCTTAGGTACAGTGCCCAGTAAATGTGACATGCTACTATTTGTTATATTAACACCTAGGACAGTGGTTGTAATTTTTAAAAATACTATTTTTAGAAATAAAAATAGTTGAAAAATACTGCAGGAAACAAATATATTAGAGGTTTAGAGTGACTGGATAGAGGGAAGATTATCTCACTGAGAAGGCAGCCTCTTTTTTAAAAATTTTTTAATCCTCACCCGAGGACATGCTTAGAGAGAGAAAGGAAAAGAGAGAGAGAGCGAGAGAAACATCGATTGGTTGCCTCTGTATGTGTCCCACCTGGAGGTCAAACCCACAGCCAGGTATATGCTCTGACCGGGAATCGAACCAGCAACCTTTCAGTGCACAGGATGACACTCAACCAACTGAGCCACTTGGGCCCAGCAGAAGGCAACCTTTGAAAGGAGGCTTATGTAATATACACTGTGGAGAGGACATGTCAAATGGAGTGAAAGTATGTAAATGCTCCAGGGTAGGAAAGCACAAGCCTTATTGTGGGGGTTTAGGTAGGACACACAACTGCATTCCCTTTTTGGTGTGCTCAGGTCCTTCACCTATTTTTCTGGCATTGCCAGTTCCAAACTGTAGGATACTCCTAAGTTATCCCTTTTCTTGATTCTAAATTATCCCTTCACTTGCAGGTCCTCAGCAAGTGGTGGCAGATGTCAAAAGCCCCGTTCCATTATAAACGCAGGGTCCTTCAGCACGGCCCTGCGTTCCTTTCGAGTGCCGTGAATTTATGCTGCCCATTTCCCAGTAGCCTATAATTGTTAAGTTGCCAATTTTATTAAAATTCTCTATCTCTTCTTTAGCCCTCATCCACCCCACCAAGATGATTTTCCTGTTATTTCTGCAAAGTAATGCAGGCAATGAGAAATAAACTTGACTGATGACTGGTCACATACTTTCAAGTCATAGATATCTGGATATTTCCTTTTTCTTTACAAGCATTTTCTCAGGGCTCAGTCAGTTTTTCCTTTTTATTCCTGAACTTCAATATGTGCCTTTTAACTGGCTTGTTTTCCTCAGAAAATAACTATCGCCTACGTTACACTTTTAAACAGGTCCACTTTTGCCCTGGCTGGTTTGGCTCAGCGGTTAGAGCGTCGACCTGCAGTCCCGAGAGACCCAGGTTAGGTTCCCACTAAGGGCATGTACTTCGGTTGCAGTTTGTCCCCGTCCCTTTCACGTCGATATCTCTCTCTCCCCCCACCCCACCTGAACAAAGAATGGAAAAATGTCCTTGGGTGAGGATAAAAAAAACAAACAGATCCACTTTCAACCATGTGTTCCCTTGTCATCACTTGCTCTTCATCTCTTTTCCTTTACTTCGAAGCTCTCTGAAAAAGTAGTCTAGGTTTGTTGAGATTAACCCCATTTCTCATAGGCTAGTCACTCTTTAACCTGACTTCTGTCCCCAGAAGGCTAGGGAGACCCTTTTCTTGGTGTCACCAATGACACAAAAATGCCAAGGTGCAGCTAGCACGGCCGGTGTGGCCCAGTCCTCAATTTGGCCCTCTCTAGCTAGTGCTAGCTTTTTGAATTATGGGTGGGGGGGGTGGGGGGGGTGGGGGGGGTGGGGGGGTGGGGTGGGGTGGCATTTGAACCAAGGGCTCAGAGTCCAAAGGCTAGATCAAGGTGTTTCAAAAGTTTAATACTTGATTTTTAATTGGCAAGAAAACAAATCCTTAGTGTGGGAAAATATTTTACATTATTTTCATTGTTGAGACAATGAATTCACTGAAAGTACCCTGGTCTCCTAAGGATACCCTGAAATTGATCTAAAAGTTATATCTAATGAAAAAAATCTTCATAGTAAATATCTATTCTTTTCCTAATCTCTTAACCTAACCATAGTGATTAACTTTCTTTCCACAACTGAATAATGGTAATGAACTTTGTAAAAATGATGAAAATACTGTTAAAAATAAAAATAATCTTCTCAGTGGGCTATAATTAGAAGGTAATCTCCTGAATCACTTGGTTTAGGAACAATCCAGCTAAGATATGGATACTTAGAATCTAAATTTATTTATATTTTAATGGGATTGATAGTTGTCTACTTTAGGCTTTCTTTGAGGATTTAAGATAATGTCTGTAAGCATTCAGAAAATTACCTGTAACAGAATGAACACTCAAAAAACAACTGGATCAATAGTACTACTTACCTGCCATATTATTAACTATTAATCATCATGAATCTCATATTATTAAATTGGGGGAAGGCTTATTTCTATTTAAACTGCTTATGTTAAACTGCTTATATTATCAAAATTCTCAAAATTATTTTGCAAAAATAAAAAATCATTGTTCAGGTAATTAATACCTAGTCTTTAAAATAAGAAAGCATTTTTTCTTATAGTCTGAGGACATGAAAATATTGAGTATCAACTTTAAGACCAGATAAGTAAGATATAATATGACCTTTTAAACATGTCAGTATATTTTATTGGTTTATAAAAAATCAGTAATATGGCCAAGGCCTAACTGATTGAGAAAACTATAAAATGGCCTCCTTTTATTCAAGTTTCTGAGAGTAGATAGAAGGAGAATTATTTTATGTTTCAGAATGATATAGTTTTATGTTGCCTGCTTTGTGTAAGTCCTAGTGTCTTGTGAAAATAAGAGACTTTTTCACTCGATAGAATAGATTTTACAGTTTTTTGTAGAAATTATTCTACAATTAATCTCCTTTTCCCCAAACTGGAATTAATTTATCCCTACTTTGAGATTGATTATTATTTTACTACTTAAAATAAAACACAAAATCTTGTGGCTTTTTTAATCTCTTAAAACTTTGAATTTAGACGCTTCTGTGGTACTTAACCCAATCCTTTGCACATGGTAGGTGTTGACTGATATAAATGTTTATAATTTATCAAAAGTTGCCTGAGTCCTTGGCAAAATGCCTATTTCCAGGTCCTACTCTCAGACACTTATTCTGGGGGGAGGCTTGGCTTACTATATTTTTAATAAGTGAGTCAGGTTACTCTGAGTATATGATCCATGAATCCTATGTTGATTAAAAAAAAATTCTAGCCCAACCGGTGTGGCCCAGTGTGGCTCAGTGGTTGAGCGTCCACCCATGCACCAAGAGGTCGCCGGTTCGATTCCTGGTCAAGACACATGCCCAGCTGTGGGCCAAATCCCCAGTGTGGGGCATGCAAGAGGTAGCTAGTTGATGTTCTCTCTCATAGATGTTTCCATCTCTCTCTCCCTCTCCCTTCCTCTCTCTTAAAATCAATAAAGAAAAAAAAAAAAAGCTTGGGAATCATCCTTCTTAAAAAACAAAAGAAAATTCTATTTGAACTACCCCATTATATAGATGAGGAAATAGAGTCCCAATAAAATAAAAGAACATGTTTAGGTATATTTAAAAAGTGTCATTAAGTATGTTGGATCAAAAATTTGCAATACATTTGTTTACCTTCTTGAGAAATTGCTAATGTATGGGTGCCCATATTTACATATGTCTGCATAACGCAGTCTAATATTGTAGATTTAAATAGTTCAGTGTGGTAGCTATGAGCCATATGTGGTGATTTAAATTAAATTGGATTTATAATTTAAATTCAAATAAAGCAGTAGAACAGTGTTTCATCAATGACTGGTAGCTACTAATGTATAAGAAAAAGTAACATCAGCAATGTGAAAAATTTGACTAGTTGTGATGAGAAAGATGTGAAGATGTGATTGATTAATGAGACTTACCGAGAAACAGGCTTCGAGGGCCAAAAGGCCCAAGAGTATGCACAGTGGTTTCATCCTTACGGTTACCCCTGAAAATAAGCACAGTGGCTGATCAGTATTCTTTTTTTTTTTTTTAAAGTGTCCCAACCACTCATATTTGATGTCGTGCAGGAATAGTAATGCAGCATTTTAAGAAAATTGTCTAATTTTATTTTGGACTCAGTATTAATATGGAGCAATACTGTTAGGCTTATGACATGTAACTATGAAATCATGAAATTAGTTTTCACTTTTCACTTGTAAACTAACATTGGAGATAATAGCAAAGAGTCGTTCATAATATGTTTTATGTGATAGAAACTTTTATGAGTTAGGTTTTTACTTTCTGAAGTAAGTACTGTATCTAGTAAACTGATTCTTTTCTTTTCCTTATTATTGAGATATTCCAAGAAATACAATTTAAAACATAAGATTTAGTTATGACATTATGTCAAATACATATCTATAGAAATCTTTAAAACAATGTAATTGTTATTTTAAATATAAAGGTGTTCAAATTTAAATGTGTCCATTTTAAAGGACAGTTGAACCTTGAACAAAACAGGTTTGAATTGTAAGCATCCACTTCTATACGTTTTTTTTTTTTTTCCCCAGTAATTATACAGTAGGCCCTCCATAACCCCAGGTTTTACATCCATAGAGTCAGCCAGTGGCAGATTGAAAACTATTTTTGATCCTCCCATTGGGAATCTGTGGGTGCAGAGGGCCAACTGTATGCCTTGTTGTGCACCATTACATAAGGCATTTTAGCATCCACAGATTTTGGTTTCCATAGGGGTCCTGAGGGATAACTTGTATGCCAAAAGTTATACTTGGATTTTTGACTGGTGGGGGGTCAGTGACCCTAACCCCTATGTTGTTCAAGGGTCAACTATAGTTTAAATAAAAATTGTCACGTAATATGTATCCTAGTTTTAATAACGTTGTACTAAGTTATTTTATTTCATAATAAGCAGTCTCAAATTCCCAAAATCCATGTAATGTACATCAAAGACCAGCGCAGAGAAAAGAGAGATGCTCAGGTCTTTTAGTCTCAAGTGACTTTTACAATATACTTCAAGGACATGATGGCTCGTGTTCTGCGAAGGCAGTGCAAACTAGCTTTCTAGTAGTTAATTCTACCCGTCAGTTGTGTGTGTTGCCTGAACAATCCAATTCTTGAAAGAAACTTAGGGACATATTTCACTGAATATTCAATTATATATGCATATGGTCATTTCTTTAAGTATCAATTTTCCTTTTACATATTGTAAAACGTTTTATAAAACAAAGACAAAACTAATAATAAAAATATACTGTAGAACAATTCTATTCTCTTAGAATACATTTTATAGCATTCTGGTCATTATGATGCTCAAAAAATGGTAAGGTACATTGGGGGGAAAAGTTGATTGTGTAACTAGATGGATTAATTGTCCCAAGTGCTCAACATGAATGCTTTTCTCTAACATATAGAATTTCACAAAATTTAATGCATTTTGTGGCTTACCAAATTTCATGTAATGCACATATTATTCTTTTAGTGAAAATTAATGTTCTCTAAAAAGCCCATGAAATAATATTTTAACAAGCCTCAGAACAAAACAGCATGGTACTGGCATAAAACAGACATATAAATCAGTGGAACAGAATAGAGAGTCCAGAAATCAACCCACACCTTTTATGATCAATTACTTCTTGACAAATGAGACAAGAAAATACAGACAGGGTAAAGATAGTCTGTTCATTCAGTTTTGTTGGGAAAATTAAACAGATATGTGCAAAAAATGAAATTAGACCACTTTCTTACACCATACACAAGAATAAACTTAAAATGGATTAAATACTTAAATGTAAGGCTCGAAATCATAAAAATCCTAGAAGAAAACATAGGCAGTGAGACCTTTAACATTTCTTCTAGCGATATTTTTTTCTGATTTATCTCCTCAGGAAACAAACAAACAAAATAAACAAATGGGACTACATCTAACCAGAAAGTTTTTGCACAGCAAAAGAATTCATCAACAAAATGAAAAGACAACCTGCTGAATGGGAGAACATATTGGCCAATGACACATCTATAGGGGGTTAATATCTAAAATTTATAAAGAACTTATGCAACTCAACACCAAAAAACCAAAAACCAAAACCAAAACAAAACAAAACAAACAATCCAATTAAAAATGGGCAGAAGACTTGAATTGACCTTTCTCCAAAGAGGACATAGAGATGGCCAATAGACATGAAAAGGTGCTCAAAGTCACTAATCATCAGAGACATGCAAATTAAAACCTCAGTGAGATATCATGCCTCACACTTGTCAGAATGGCTACCATAAAAAAATCAACAAAACAAGTGTTGACTAGGATATGGAGAAAAAAGAACCCTCATGGACTGATGGTGGGAATGCAGATTGGTGCAGCCACTGTGGAAAACAGTATGGAATTTCCTCAAAAAATTAAAAATGGAACTGCCTTGTGCCTCAGCAATTTCACTTCTGGGAATATATCTAAAGAAACCCAAAACACTGACTTGAAAGAATATATGCAGCCCTATGCTCATTGCAGCATTATTATAAGAGCCAAATTTGGAAGCAGCCCAAGTGTCCATTAATAAATGAATGGATCAGAAAGCTGTGGTACACTTGCACAATGGAATACTACTCAGCTGTAAAAAAGAAGGAAATCTTTCTTTTTGCAACAGCATGGATGGACCTAGAGAGTATTATGCTAAGTGAAATAAGCCTATTAGAGAAAGACAAATACCATAGGAGTTTACTTATGTGTGGAATCTAATGAACAAGATAAGCTAACAAAATAGAAACAGACTCATAGGTACAGAGAACAGACTGATAGCTGTTAGAGGAGAAGGGGTCTGTGGGCTGAAAAAAGTAAAGGAACTAAGCAAAAAACAAACAAACAAAAAAACACAGCTCATAGACACAGACAACAGTGTGGTGATTACCAGAAGAAAAGGAGTGGAGTAGGCAAGGTAGAAGAGGGTAAAGGGGTGATAAATGGTGACAGAAGATACAATTTTGGGTGCTGAACACAATATAATATACAGATGATGTATTATAGAATTGTGCTCTTGAAACCTATATACTTGTGTTAACCAATATCACCCCAATAAATTCAATAAAAAAAAAAAAAAAAAAGAAAGTCTCAGCAAATTAGTATGCAAAGTAAAAATTCTTCAGTTTATATTTCCAAGTACTTACGTGAGGATCCTTTCAGGGCCGAGTGTTCTGCCGGTCAAAATGTCTCCTGGCAGTTACTTTCCAAAGATGACACACGGAGGTGAGAAAGAACAAGAAATCAAAGCTCCTATATATATTGCAGTGGATTGCTAGTGCTAAGGAGGAGAGGATAGTTGGAAAATACAAACTTCTAGGTTGATGTTCTTTAAACAAAGATAGAAAAGTGTCATTGCCAATTTGGCAATCTTTTTCTGCAGGTTTTTTTTTTTTTTTTCATTTCTGAGGAGCTTTGACCCATTCAATATTTGGTGTTTCCTGAGGAAACAGATATTATACAATGAATCATAATGTTCTTTGTCTCAGTAAAATAATCTGGAGCTTGTGGTGCACTACTGTCTCTTTCTTTTAAAGAAAAAGCTCAAGATGTTCTATTTCAAGTAATTTTAATGTTCCTCTTTTGTTACATGTTGCCATCACCATATTTTCTATTTTATCTAAAAGTTTACCACATTATATGGAAAATTAAATGTCGAAATGTTTTTACATTGAATTCAAACACAATATAGAGGTAATTTGTGGTTCTAAAACCTAGAATTAAAGTTAGAAGTCGTTATTCAATCAGTGTTGCTAAATACCACACACAGGATACCATGACCAGTTAGCTCATATATAATGCTTGAGTTTTGGACTACTGTTTTATATATTTTAGGCTTAATGTTTTTTTTTTTTTTCATCGAAATAGTAAAATTGTATTACTATTTTATTCTTATGTATTTCTACGTATCTAATCATCTATGTATTATTTTTCCCATTTATGTAACGTTGGCATAGTTGAGTCATTGTTTTTGAAGGATAATAAAAATGAGTGCTGGGATTAAGATTTACTTATTTATTTTTTATTTTTAACGTATATGCATGTATGCATGACCAATGGACATGGACAACAAAGCTGGGGACAGGGCGGGGGTTGGGTGGGGAGGGGGGTGCCAATGGGGTAAAAAAGGAGAAACATCTGTAACAAAAAAATAAATAAATAAATGGGATTAAGATTTTGACCTAAGTTTTGGAAATATCGAGAAAGGAAAATTTAGTGTTAGAAATGCAAGGAGAGTTAGAAGATTCATGCAGTATAATCTTAACTATATTTGAATTCTCTGTGTCTGTGATTGTTCAAGATATTTAGATTATTTAAAAGGTACTTAAATGGACATTTTTAAAGAAAGTTTTCTTTTTCCAATGCAGAACTAAAGCAGTGGTCTGAGATTGTGTTTTAGGAGTCACTTGCTGTTTGCCATAATTAACTTGAGAAATTTAATTATGGGGGCATTATATGGATATATTTTTACTTTGAAGTGGATGGATATCCATGAGAAAGTCACAGTTTTACATTTTTGATAAACCAGGCCTTGAGGTTTTTCCTGTTCTAAATGATACTATAATCTCTAGTTTCTACTAATTATTATGTAATAATAATTGCTATTATTTAAACATCTTTTACCATATACCACATGATAAGATGAAATGAATTCTATTATCATCTCTGTCTTTTGGAGTTTAGCCATCCATCATTTATTCATTCATTCATTTACTCATTCAAAATCTATTTTATGCCTACTGGGGGTCATACATAGTGCTAGTTGTCAAAGTCACAGAATGTTTAAATGTTTGGTGTGTTAAAAATCTTTTGGGAGTCATAGGTGGTGTAGAAGAAGCCACATTTTGAGAGTTGATCTTAGTTTTAAGTTACTAATTTCATTTGCTTTGTCACAATTTTGTTGCCTTAAAAAAATTCCGATGACATAATCAAGTGTAATAAATTGTTTGACTGGTTTGCTAA